ACCACAGGCTAAATCAAGAGCAGCTAGCAAACATGTGGTATTATGACTTTTGAAAGTTATTTAACAAGGTACATGAAAGGCAACACAAGATAAGCACTTATGGTTTTGGGGACAATATATAAGTATGGATAGAACTAGCTAATTAACAAGAAACAGAGTTAGAATAAAATGGGTTATTTTAAGGATGGCAAACAATTCACTTACAGTGCTGGAGACTTAATCATTTGCAATCTATTTTAATAACTTGGGATAAAGAGACAAACTGCTGACAATTCAAGGACAAGTAAGAAAGAATGTTATGAGAGATACAAAATGCCTGCAAAATAATATGGATAGTTTAGGTGAGTGGGCAAAAAAATAGTAGATGGAGTCTTGTGGAAACTCTTGAGGTTGTGTCCACTTTGCTAGAAGACTAGAGAAACTAAATTGTTGCTATACAGAGGGATTTGGGTTTCCTGGTACATGAATGATGAAAGGTCAGCGTGCAGATAAAGTCCTTAATTAGAAAGGCAAATGGAATTTTGGCTATTATTGCAATGGTGATGAAGTATTAAAAATAGAGAAATCTTGCTACAACTGTACAGGGCATTGATAGGACCACACTTACAATACTGTCCACAATTTGGATCTTCTGAGGGAGGGATATACTTCCATTGGACATAGATCAAAGAAAGTCACTAGGCTGATTCCTCTGATAAAGGGGTTATCATAAGAGCAAAGGTTTAGCAATTTGGGCTTATACTTAGTGAAATTTAGATGAAACATAATGTTCTGAGGGGGCTTGAAATGGTAGATATTGAGAGGATTTCTCTTCTCATGGGGTATCTAAAACAGAAGGGGTAGAGTTCACAATAAAGAGTACAATTTAAGACAAAAATGAAGGGGAATTTCTTCTTTCAGTGGGTAATTATTGTTTAGAATTCCCTTTCCTAGTGGTGAATGAATGCTGGATCATTGAATATATTCAAGACTGAGTGAGACAGATTTTGATTGACATACATTTCAAAGATTATAATGGCGAATGGCATGGCAGGCAAGGTGGAGTAAAGACCACAAACCAATCAACTCTGATATTATTGCTTGGTGAAACAGGCTTTAGTACCAAATGGCATACTTATGCTCCAATTTTTTACATTCCCTGGAATGCCAACCAAATAAATATCCATACAAGTATTTCATCCAAGTCAGCTACATCATTTACTCACTGTTATATTCCTCATTGACATTTTAATGTAAATATGCTGAGATACAAGGAATATCTAATGGATAATTCCGTGCAAATGTTGGAATAAAATCCAGAGACAACTGAATGCTATCCACTCTGCTCTTATTGCACATCGGTAAGGAAATATAAATGTTATTAACATGAATTAAACTCAACACTTCTTTCATATTTAAAGTGACAACAACATTCTACACAGGATGCTATTAATCAGTTCATAAGAATTTGTGGAACAAGATTTGCCAATAAGTCCATTTTGTCTAAGATTTTGGTTCTTCAGGCCCAATATATATAAATAATAAAAATAATGCTCTCGTCTCCATGTTGTTGGAAAGACGTATAAAAATTCCTCTGCCTGTGGTACACACAGTCCAGGTATTTCCAAAACTAGTCCATAACCTAACCTGCAAATCTCTTACGTGTTTATCTTTTTACAGGTTATTACCATTGATCTTATAACCAAAATTAAATTCTGTTTACAATTACTTTGCATATATCCAAGGGCTAGTTAGAGTCATCGAGTCATAGACATATATAGCACCGAAACAGACCCTTCAGTCCAACCCGTCCATGGCATCTAGATATCCTAAATAAATCTAGTTTCATTTGCCAGCATTTGGCCCATATCCCTCTTAACCCTTCCTATTCATATACCCATTCAGATGCCTTTTAAATGTTGTAATTGTACCAGCCTCCACCACTTCTTCTGGCAGTTCATTCCATACATGCACCACCCTCTGTGTGAAAAAGTTGCCCGTTAGGTCCCTTTTAAATCTTTTCCCTCTCACCTTAAACCTATGCAGTCTAGTTTTGGACTACCTCCACCTCAGAGAAAATACTTTGTCTATTTACCCTATCCATGCCCCTCATGATTTTATAAACCTCTATAAGGTCACCTCTCAGCCTCCAAGGCTTCAGGGAAAATAGCCCCAGTCTATTCAGCCTCTCCCTACAGCTCAAACCCTCCAACCCCGGCAATATCCTTGTAAATCTTTTCTGAACGCTTTCAAGTTTCACAACATCCTTCCTGTAGCAAGTAGACCAGAGTTGCACGCAGTATTCCAAAAATGGCCTAACCAATGTCGTGTACAGCCCAACATGACCTCCCAACTCCTATACTCAATACACCGACCAATAAAGGCAAGCATACCAAATGTCTTCTTCACTACCTTATCTGCCTGCGACTCCACTTTCAAGAAACTATGAACCTGCAGTCCAAGGTCTCTTTGTTCAGCAACACTCCCCAGGACCTTACCATTAAGTATATAAGTCCTGCCCTGATTTGCCTTTCCAAAATGCAGTACCTCACATTTATCTTAACTAAACTCCATCTGCCACTCCTCGGCCCATTGGCCCATCTGATCAAGGTGCTGTTGTACTCTGAGATAACCTTCTTCACTGTCCACTACACCTTCAATTTTGGTAAGATCTGCAAACTTATAACCACTTCTCCTATGTTCACATCCAAATCATTTATATAAATGACGAAAAGCAGTGGACCCAGCACGGATCCTTGTGGCACACCACTGGTCACAGGCCTCCAGTCTGAAAAGCAACCCTCCACCACTCTCTGTCCACTACCTTCGAGCCAAATGGCTAGTTCTCCCTCTATTCCATGTGATCTAACCTTGCTAACCAGTCTACCATGATGAACCTAGTTGAATACCTTACTGAAGCCCATATAGATCACATCCACCGTGCTGCCCTCATAGATCCTCTTTGTTACTTCTTCAAAAAACTCAATCAATTTAGTGAGACACGATTTCCCGCACACAAAGCCATGCTGACGATCCCTAATCAGTTCTTGCTGCTGATTTAATTTCTGAGCTTATCCACATGATTATGAATATCTTTTCCTGCAGTTATTTTGTAACAATTATTTTCAATGTTGTGGCAACAGGCAACTTGTAAATTCTGGTCTTTTATCTTTTCAACTAGTCTGCTAACATAAGTTGTGGAAAGTAATCATATTACCTCTAAGAAGTAACAGCAGTCATCTCACCTGTTTTCACAAATAATTGAGGTGAGTAGAAAAGATTCATTTCAAGGGAACTAGGTAGGTTATAAATAAGAAAGAAAGAATACGTTGATAGGGTGACATGACGAGGAAGCTTCTCTAGAGCAAAACACAGACATAGAGCCCATGAGTCAATGGCCTGTTTATGTGCTCTAAATGCAATGAACATAATACCCCAGTTGGAATAACATGGAGTTTTTGGTAATCCCATATTATACTTCTTGCATTTATTTTCCACTTTTCTACTTCACCCTAATTCTGCAAGTAAACACCTGCTGTTTCAAGTTTAAATTGTTTGACCAAGTGTTTTCATAAGTGCAGCCAAAAAAATATGAAATTAATTATCCCTTATCCATTAATTTAACACATGTTCAAAAGTCAAATGTAATGTCAATTTTATCTAAAATATTCTTGGTCTGTGGCACTTTAAAGTCTCGTGAATCCCCCTAACAGTAAATATTTGTGACAAGAACTCCCCACTTCACTGCTTCCAACTGCTGTTATAAATATGGCATTTCAGAGCATTTGGCTGAATAGATTCAGCTTTAGGGTCATTCTCGAAAGTTTCAACTCCTCTATTAATTATAGTAATATTCTCAGTCATTTATTTATCACATTTTTTGCCTTCAATACTTGCAATGCTATTTTACAAATTAATTAAAATGTACTTTATAGAATTATATGCAAATAGAAATGTAGAAGTGGGTACTTTTAGCAAATACAATGCCAAAACAGATTCTGACAGCATATTACAATATTTCTTATGTATGAATCAGAGTTATTTAAAAATATATACTTAAAACTTCCTGTTCCAAATGCTCAACCAGTACAAAATAATTTTAATAAATGAGTCCATTTAATTACTGTGGAGTTGTGGTCATGCCAATTACATCTTAACATCTCACACATTTTTAAAAACAAAGTAAGCTCCACAGATTACCTAAACCTACTAAAGTCAAAAGGCAAATTAATCACAATAATTTCACATTTATTGAACTGCTCTAGGCCATTGAGCCCAAAAATGGTGCAAATAGACAAGTGTCAGGTTTTGGACAAAGCACTGTTTGGCCTTGAGTTTGCTTTCTAAAAGCAAGGTAAATTGGAGTGGCAACTGAGGCCACTTTTAGAATGGGAGAGGGGATCCTGGGATAGCAGACGACCAGACTTGCTTTGTGGAGCTCAGTGGAACAGTCTACACCTCCTAACACCACAGAGAAAAGATTTTGACCTGCCTCGTGGGCCCTTTCTTACCTCCCTCCATAGTAAATCATTAAAGTGCCTCAGAGATCTATGGCTTGATTAGCATACTAATGAGGTTTGCATCTAAGTTAGGCATCTCCACCTACTGAAAAGACAAGCAATGACTAAGAATCCAGCAGGAATGTGATAGGAAGTCTTTGCTGAGCTACTTTAACTCTATTCTTGCATAGTGGGGCACAAATTTCTCCCTTTGATTTCAATGTTAAAGCTATTGTTTATTAAGATATAAATGTTATGAATATTAAGTCGTGATTTTCTTCCTCCTTAGGATGTCGTAGCCTATGATTCTTTGCAATGTATTCGACATATATGGGAGTAGATGTGGCAATACTGAGCATTATATAGAGAGATAGATAGATAGATGGATAGATGGATGGATGGATATTACACATTTTTAACTATTATTCTGTAGGAAATGTTTCCTCTTTGAAACCCAATAATTCACTCCACTTGTTGTCTGATAAAGTATTTTTTTTATTTGCCAATTTAAATTTACCCATGCAATCTAACAGCTTAAGGCTTAATATTTTCCACATCACTGGACACAGTAACACAATACACAGAAGCATTGTATATCATCATACATGATTAGCATTTTCTTGTACATATGTACAGAAATTATACATAGCGTAACCTTGCTACCACATCTCTTTAAGCCATTTTTTTTAACTGGGAAAAGCAGCTTTTTAACAAAAGGTGTAAGAAATACAGCAAGGCACACATTGTTAAAACATTTCTTCTCTTCCCCATCATAAGAAGCCGGAATGACAAAACTCGACAATATCATACTGATAATCGTAATACACAGCACAATAAGGTTGATTTTTACATATCAGGATTGCATAGATTGGATCTATGTATTATATGGTGGTATTGGTTTAACATTACCTACTTTAAATGTATCAATGTATGATAATCAAGACTAAACATAAATTTCAAATTAACTGTTTATAAATTTTATGCCACTTGTCATAACTTCAAGTTAAATATCAAATTATATTTGTGTCTCCTTTTATTGGCTTTAGCATATTTAATGGAACAAGGCTCACTTTTTGGAAAGGTGAATTTATGTCCTGACAAATGAGTGTTTTTTTTTGAGATAACAGCATTCTCCCATAAAATCCAAACATTACCCCAAGTATGCCAAAGTGTGAAATGCATTACAGGAATTAACATAAAATTACACCTTCATACCTTTGCAATTTCTGTCGTATTCTCTCAGATATCAAAAAAATGCCTTCACCACAAGTAGAAGGACAATTATAAACTGCAGATCAGAATGGAGGAGGTCCGTGGAGGTAGCTTAGGACAGGAGTCCATGAAGAAGAAAAATACCGGACTTTGCTGCAATCTGTTGGTATTACCAACAAGGGAGTGAGAGCAACTGCCATACACAGGACCAAGAGAAGCAACCAGATTACCACACCTGCTTGAAAAACTCGCATTTGGAAGGAATTTGTCTTCGATGACAGTGAGGAAGAAGATGGTTCAATTAAATTACAGGCTGCTTTGGGAATAGGTGGGCAAAAATGGAGCAAGGTTACAGCCAGATTTCTGGAGGGGAAAAAAAGACAAAAATATATTGCAATCAGTGGTAATAAAGAATGATAAATACTTTCTCATTAATATTCTATACAATAATGCTACAACTTGCTGTCATAAATCTGTGACATAATTTACTGGAAGTACACATTTACCAATGGACAACTTCAAATGACAATATTTACAGTATGAGAGAATTTTTTTGCCAACCATCAAAAATCTAATGGTGTAACAATTGTAAAATCAATTGAATGCCATTATATCATTGTTGGATTTTCATAATTATTTAATAACAGCTGCATTAGAGGAGGTAAGCTATCATGTGTGACCTTTCTTTTCTTGTTGCTTTTATCCTCTTCTGTAATATTCAATATGCAGACAATACCCTCAGGTACATAGGTCAATATACAAATAACATTGATTGAAGCAAAGCCCGGTTATAATGAATACATAAAGCAGCAATCATTGGGCTCGACATGAATATAAAAACCTGAAGTCATGAAAAGTGTCGATAAAGTAAGGAGCCTAAAATGGAATAGTCAAATTTACTACGGACATTCTTAAAAACAATTTTTTCCACATCTACACTGTTTTATATATTTTGAACTTCAGGTTTTGTTTTCCTAAATCTGGCAGCATGAAAGCAATAACATCTGGCCAGCCATAAGGTTTGATTTCCACAGTGAGGAGTCAGTCTGGATAATTAAACCATGCAGCAAAGAGCAGGAGCTTGTAATGAGGATTATGAAGAAATGACTGTCAGTATACAGCTTAAGATATTAATGTAATGTGCATCCTTTCTACAACTTCTAGGAGGCACTCTGGACATGCATTTATCCACCTTCTAAATTAGGAAAAATGTCTCAATCTAGCTAGTTACCTTTGCTTTTGATCTTGCTTTGCTGCTACTGACCTCTAAATTTATATAGAAACATGACAAGTAAAAGAAAGAAAAGAGCAGTAAGCATTGAATCCAGAAAGTAATAAGTAATAAAAGGAAGTCGTTAACAAAGACGATTACATGCTTTTTAGTGCATGAACAATACTTTTATCAAAATAAATTATATCAAAGGCAATTACTTATAAAAAGGAATTTGAAATAATTACAGAATTTAATACAAAGATTGTACAAAACATTCTCAGCTTGAATGTTCATGCAAAATACTTCCTGGACGGAACTTTTGATAAATTTTGTTTTCTATAATCTATCACAGCTTTGCGGGTAACTACAGTGGATAGCTGGCAGTCACATATCAGATGCAGGTTATAGCTTATATTTCAAACAAGATTATGGGATAGAAGGCATGTGACTGATGAGTTTTATGCTACACCCCCCAAAGCTTTCAAACTGGAATGCATCAAGGCAGCTGCAGAGGAGACAAGCCCATCAAGAAAAGAGTAACACTGGAAGGTTTCTTCAACTTTTGTGATCTTATTCTGTGTTTTGCAAAATTATTCATGAAAAGATCCAACAATTGATAATGTAAATTGCCTTTTTTGTATCAGATTTTGCAAGCACAGAATCACTGAGACACTGCTTGGTTTGCTATATAGAAATATCTGTTGCTTTCTAAGGACTGGTCTGGTGGACATTAATGAATGGAATCTTTGAAACACTTAAAAAATATTTTTTGACTCACATCCTATACCTTGGGTACAGTTCTTGCAGCATGAGCGTTGCTTGGAAGTTCACTGTGGTAGGATACACAGGATGTAGTTTTGGCATCAGTGGTTTTGCTCCTTTGAGTTGTCCTGGAATTCCCTGCTGTATATTCTTGAGATCTAGGGATCTGTAAATTAGAAAAAAAAAGTTTCACTTAATTTATTAGAAGTTTTTGCTGAAGTCCCATGTACATCTCGCAAATATAAAACATACCATGTGATTAGGCAATGCATTGAAGAAAATTAAAGTAAACCTTCTCCACCTACATTCTCTGACAGACCTCTAAAAATTCAAATGTCACAGTAATTTACTGTGAATATCTAAAACTTATTTATTATTTAAAATTTAAAGTTACACTGAGATCTATCACCTATGAAATCATTCAAATTACATAAGCAGCACATTTTAAAAAACCATAATATTTTAGAACACCTTAATATACATAGCAATTTTATCGCCATTTAGAATATGCATCTTTATTAATATTCTCTTACCTGATTGCATGAGGATGAAGTGTAGAATATATATTTTAGTCATAACCTTAACACACTTTCAACTCTGTTGATATTGAATAAATTGTGCAGTTTGAATTACAACCTATCGTGAGATATTCTTTATAAACATTTTTTTTTCTGTGTTTGCTTTATATTGTGTGCAAACTAGTGGTCAGTACTCCAGATGAGAACAGCACTAAGAAAAACAAAGTTGCTGGAAAAGCTCAGGAGGTCTGGCAGAATCTGTGAAGGGAAAAACAGTTAACATTTCGGGTCCGGTGACACTTCCTCAGAACTTTCCTGAGAACAGCACTACCCTTGTTGGCTGTGTGATGATAAAGTCAGGTTTAGACACGAGAGAACAGAATGCAGCAAGTTCAGAGGGAACCAGGTTAGAATGGGTGAGGGAAGCAGGCAATGATATGTTGGTAGATCTCATTAAAGAGATTGAAGGCAGATAAGAGGCCTGATGTAGGCGTCCAAATGGAAGGACAGTATTGCAGATGGGTCAAAGAATCTGTAGAATTGAGAAAGAATACCTCTCCAAAGCATGGAGGTGATGACAGATGAATAGTTCAACATCACATTGTGCTCAAAATTAATTGAGATGGGGATAGAACTGAGACTTTTGCTGAGAACAGATCACTTGGCATCGAGAGTGGAAGGTCAGAGGCTATTGTGAACACACTATTAGAGGTAGAGTTAAAAGAAGAGATGGGGTCAGAAGGAAGGGGAGGGAAGGAAGGATCCAGAGGGGTGCTGGCACCTGTGAGTTGCTGGAACCTATGCTCTTTAACATCTGAAGAAACGACAAAAGCTTCATTTTTAGGGGTCGAATGAGAAAAAGATTGAAATGTAACAGGGGGCCAGCACAGTTCTGAAATAGCATGAGGCAGTTCTGATTCGGAGAAAGATCAAGTGTGTAGATGTGGCAATGCATGGCACTGAGTGTTGATCTTAGGAAAATGAGTACAGCTATCCAAGGAGCAATGTATACTTCAGAAATACCTCTGATCTTGGGTGGATTCGAAACACAAATAATTGAGCTTCATATTCATGTCTTTCTCCAATGGATGCTGCCAGACCAATGAATTACTCCAGCATTTTATTTTATTTCAGATCTCCAGCATCTGTAGTACTTTGCTTTTATTTTATTCTAAAATGTTGATGCTTGATGAGAAGGTGACATAGTGGTAATGTCTCTAGGTTAATAATCTAGAGGTCTAGGTTCATGGTCTGAGGACATGGCGTCAAATCCCATTCTGGCGGCTGTTGGAATTTGACTGAAATTAATACATCTGAAATTAAAAGTTCAACTCAGGACCAGTGATCTTCAAATGATCTCAATGTTGCAAAAATAAAAGTCGTTCGTCTCACTAATATTGTTTAGGAAAGGAAATCTTCCATCCTTACTTTGTATGTCTACAAATGACTGTAGATCTATTGAAATGCAATTGAAATTTAAGTGGCTTAAGTGAAATGGCCCAGCAATCCATGCAGTTCAAGGGGAATTATGGATCGTCAACAAATGCCAGCCTTGCCAGTGTCTAGCATATCCCATGATAGATTAAATTAAAAAATTTATTGGGCAAATTAAAAATGTCTTCATTTTCAGTCAGTCAGTCATTACCAAACATATCATACATCACTGAAATAATTAAATTTATTTAAAATTAAGTAACTCATCGAGGTTTTGAGGAATATTCCAAAAATTATTGAGGCTTTATTGTGACTGGTTACACATAGTTGCACTTTCAGGAGTTGCTGACTTCATAAACCTGCATTCCTGAAACTTTGTTAATGTGCTAGGAGTAAACAAAACAAATCTTTTCTCAATTTTTTTCTAAATAAAGGAAAGTGTAGCTTCTACAATTATAAAATGATACATTTTTAATTTAGTTTGCAACCCACCTCTTTCTGAGACAAGTTGAAGTCCCCATCATAATTATTTTCTTTCGTGAAAATGTTCTGTTTGACTTTGCAATCTTCAATTTGGTAATTTTCATAAACAGGAAATCCACATGGAAATCCTGGTTTTTCAAGATGACTGTCATTTGGTTGTGAGTCCTTCACCAGATTCATTTGTATTTCATGGGATTGTTTTACTGACTTATGATTTTCATCACTCTCACTCTTAAATGGAGGGTCACCAGTTTCAAGCATTTCAATTTTAGGTCTAGCAACAAAGGACTCATTATCTGACAAACACTTAGAAATGTCTGTCTGTGCTTTAGGCAGCAAAGAATTATCGTTTGGCTTCTCAAAGTGGCACTCTACCGATTGAAATTTATTGTCTTCAGGTGTGTTATGTGTTTGATCAGAAACTCCTAAGAATGTATCTGAACTTTCAGTAATTTTGTTTGTTCCTGTTGGATTTCCACCATATTTATTTTGGTTAGTTGGAGTCACATGAATAGCTTTTGACATCATAATGTCCAGTTTACCATTTGGCAACTGCGATGCATTGTTGTCAAAAAATGGTTCAGGTTTGGTCAAAGGATATAGATTATCATCTGAAATCTTGTCCTTTTGAAGTGTAGAATTAAATAAGCAAGAGCGGTGTGGGGTAGATTGTTCTTCAACATCATCACTGTACAAGTTATCATCTTCATCATTGTTTTCTAACCTGGTCTTCTCATTAAAATCTAAAGGCAAAGGTGTGCTGCTTTTCTCATCAATGCATGTGTTTACCTCACCACAGTCACTGTCATGTGATGATATAGACAGGTAAGAATAAAAGTCTCCTTTTCGCAGCTGCAAAGGACGGTGGGAATGTTCCAATACTTTTTCCTTGATCTGAGCCACTGAAGTTGGATTCATCATTTCAGAATCATGTTGAGATATATTCTTAAGAGCTGTTGATGCCATATCAATTATTTCCATCACAAAATTATGAACAGAACTATCTTCTTCACCATCAACACCATGAGGAACACTAGAATGACAGGAACAATTTGAAATATCATTTATATAATCCTTATCAGCTTCTTCCAAAAGTCTGCTTTCTGTTTTAAGATGAGCTGAACATTTTTCAGATGATTCTTGACTAGTCAGATTATATTCATCACCACGGCAGTTAAGTATTAAATCTGCACTGGAATCTTCATGTTGTTGAAGTTTCTTATCTTCATTTGCAGAAGCTGTGTTCCCACCTAAAACTGTAACATTACAGTTCTTTTCAAGTTTCTCTGAGAAAATAGGCTTCTCATTGATGTTAAAAGTAGATGATGACAAATGTTGGTTTGCAGTCCCATTGTCTTCCAAACATATAAGCCATTTATCTTTCTGTGAAGATTGTATGGGGGTCTGGGGAACTGGAATGTGCTGTGTAGAAGGAACATCTGCTTTCTGCTCATATGTTCCACTAAATAATTCAGCATTTGAACGTCCTGATTTATGGGTCTTGCTAGTATTATGCTCCTTTTCAAAATACTGAAATTTCTTACTGTCTATCTCTTCAATTAGTTCTTTCTTGTCTTTTAATGGAGATTTTTCCACATTACCATTCTCTACATCATCTTTCAAATGGTCACCATAGGAGTGTCTGAGAGTCTCCACTCCATTTTGTTTGTGGTGTCTTTCTTTTGGATGGAATGATGTGCTCTTACAGTCTTTGGACTCAGACTGCATCAATGCAGAAGTCTTTAAAAATGGATAAAGTGTTGAAATGTTTTTGAAGGTTGGTAACTTTATACTATTTGAATCAGTCCTGCATTGATCCTTTTCTCCAGGATGCATTTTTTTCTTTTCCTTTGTCACAGAAAAAATTGGTTTAATCCAGTGGTGTAATTCATTCTTCATAAAGTTCCTATCTAAAATGTGATTACTTTCTTCATTAATTTCATCATCTGTAGCAATGCTGGAGTCATCATCATCCTTAATGCATAGCTCCTCTTCAGTTAGAGTAAGGGTTGAACTGGAAAGCAAATCACTATCGTCTTCTTCATCTGTACAAGCAGATGTACAAGACACGTTAACAATCATGCTTATATTGACATCAGCTTCATCAGTCACTGAGTGCTTAACCTGTTTTTTGAATGATGCATTAGAGTCCGAAATTTTATTTTTATGAACAATTATATCTTCAGAGCACAAAGAAAGCTCATCACTGCTGCTTAATTCTGTGAGAGAAGCAGCAGAATCTTCATTTGCTGATGATGCAGCATCAAATGAGAGCTGGCCAGTGCATGACATTTTGAGAGAGTTACTCTGCAATGTGATATCAGAAACACTACGTTTCATTTTTGGACTCATGGGATTCTGGATGTTTTCTAGACGTTTCAACAGATCTAACGTCCTCTTACTTAGCTCCCCAACTGCATCACTACCTATAATATCCCCTGATCCTTGAATGCTATGTAGCTCCTCTGTGACTTTATATGGAATAACCCAGCTCTCTAAGGAAGTACTGCGTTGGAGATCACCATTTTTGTGATTGTTAGTTCCAAGCTGAAATATGTCACCAGCAATTGAAAGTGATTCCACTGATGACCTCGGAGACAAAAATGCAAAACCTGAATCATTTATATTATCTTGAGATAGTCTGTCATTGTCTGTTTTGCGATAGTAAGTCTCAACGTTAGCATCACCTGATTTTACTGGCAGGCATTTTTTGGATGTAATACAGTCTGGCTTGGAATCAGGAGCTGATAGCCCATTTTCACAAATAAATTCAGCAGAATTTGGTTTAGAGGACACATTCCCATCAGTAGTCACCTTTTCTTCAAGTGAGTGAGTTACAGTCATATTTAACTCAAGCTCAGGGCCTTGCAGGTAAGAATAGTCATAAAATGTAAACACATCATATTGTGCCTCCAGATCATTTGAAAAGTCCTTTGAAGGGGTATTATTCATATCATGAGGCTGTAAGTTTCCTTCATTACTTAGAGACAGTGATTGAAGATTTTTTGACAATTCTACATTATTTTTCGTTCTTTGTATTCTTGCTGCATTCCTCATTTCTTTTTTTACAAGTGAACCCTGTCTTTGGCAAATGCATGACTTAATTGGACAGTCTTTATGTTTTAATTCAATCAGGGGATGCAATTGTTTGACAGTTTGAGCTTGATCAATTTGATTTGGCAGGGAGGTTTGAGAATTCGTTGTAGTTTCTGCATCATCTTCACTGACTATTTCGTTCTCACTCTCAAGTTTCAGTGATATTGGTTTGCCCTTTTTTAATGGACTTAACTCATCCAGTAGCTCTGGCAAAGAGTCATCAGACGAAAGAGAGGAATCTTTACTTGCACTCCTTACTAAATTCTTTGAACTGGGAAAAATTGAGGCATTCTTGAAGAATGGTGTATCAACTTTCCCAGGGAGTTGTATATTATGTTGGGTATAGACCTGATAGATAACTGGACAGGAAGAAGGAACTTCACCAGGGCTATACAGTGATTCTCCAGGGCCGTTGGTATATTGATCTAGCATAAGTTCATCACTAAGATTATTGATGGGTCTAGGTGAGAATTTTGATACGTCCTTTTCCTCAAATGCAGTATCAACTGTTTCATCTTGGATACCAATCAGATTGTTACTCATGTCCATTTCATCCCATTCCAGTGAATCTTCAAGCAAAATATTCAGATCCATTAGACCAGGTTCAACACAACTTAAGGAGTCCTAAAAGAGAACAAAAATGAAATGAGCTTTTAGATTTGATTTTTGCTTCAAGGTTTATGCAGCCGGTATCTTAAAACCATGCTATCCTTTTTCTAATGAACTGTTTTACTAAAATCTGCCTGATCAAATCATAAACAAAGCTATGTCCACGCTTGCAAAATATTAAATAATCCATATACCTCATCACATTTACATGGACTTCCATATTTATTTCTAAGGGATACATTTTCATAAATTTACAGGGAAAAGTATAATTGGCAGTGATTATTGCAAGCGCTATGAGTGGTGCAGGTGGCATGTCAATTCAATATTATTAATGCAAAGCCTAGAACATTTTAACTATTGGCCCTTATAAACATTTGATTAATAAGCTGCCCACCTCTTTGTGTTGGTGACGTTTATCTTGCTCTCCTGTAAACAAGAATTTTTTTATGAGCCTTTTCAATGTTGCTCGAAGTGTGAATTCTTCTCAATTACAATCCTGTTGCTTTGATGGAAGCAGAATCACAAAACAGTGGATGATCATAGTACAAGAGGAAGCCACTTGGCCCATCTTGTCTGTGCCAGCTTTCGAAAGGAACAATTTACCTGATGCCACTCTTTTGCTTTTAGTAGATGAAGTTCCTTAACACTGGACGCAATCTTCTGAATCTTTTCTCCACTTTCTCTGATGTCTTCACATCGTTCCTGAAGTATGGTGCCCAGAACTGGATGCAATACACCAGCTGGGACTGAATCAGCGTGCTATACAAGTTTAACATAAGCATCAGAATTCTGAAGTCAGAAGCCAGTTCCCAGATGTGCAGACAAATCCACAGAGAATTTTCATCCTTGTTTTCAAATCATTCTTTGGCCTCTTACCCCTTTATTTGTGCAATTTCTTCCAGACTCACAACTTAACCCTCTGTATATTCTGCATTCATCCAATTTCAGCCTCTTCAGCACCCTGATTTTAATCCCTCCGCAATTTGTAGCATTGTCCTCAGCAATCTTCATTCAAAGCTCTGGAATGCCGTCCCTAAACATCTCTGCTTCTATTTTCTCCTTTACAACATTCCTGAAAACCCACACCTTTGATTACATGTCTCAATGCAGCTCAGTGTTATATTTTGTTTTATAAAGTTTCTGCAAAGCACGTGGAAATATCTTATTACATTAAAGATACAAAATAAAAAAAACAAGTTATGTTGTTGTTGAGGTCCTCATTCAAGAGGAGAGGACAAATATGGGATATTATAGAATAATGGAACGGTCATAGCACAGGAAGCCATTCAGTTGTGTCTATGCTATCCTGCAGGAGCAATTCACCTATCCATCACTCCACATCCCCTCCCTGTCCACAGCCCTGTCACCATGCAAATATTTCCTTTTCAGATAATGATCAATTGCCTTTTGACTGCCACTGTTGAACTAGCTCCAACCACACTCTTGGGCACTGCTTTCCATTAGTCAACTGCTTTAATTCTGTGTTCTCCAATTCTGATCCTTCCACTAATGCGAACAGTTTCTCCTATCAAATTTGTCCTGATCGCTCCGAATTTGATGGAAAGTAGCTACAATTACAAATTTTATAACAGATTGTATAATGGTAGTGAACCCATGGCATGTCACCACAGGATCTGGATTCAAATAATTAAGTAATTCAGTAACCTGACTGGAGCAGCAATGATGAATACAGATGCTCAAGTCTCTGTTTTAACAGCACATTACATTATCCTAATAATCTTCCAGTTTTCTCGTTCCAGTTGCTAAACCTGTTGCTTGTCTCCTTTTTATTCAAATCACCTGGTTTCGACCTGTTATGACACATGTCTGGGCAGTGGGACTTGAATCTGAACCTTCTGACCCAGAAGTTGGGACACTACCCTTATGCCATAAGAGTTCTTTGCTTGTTGCCTTAACAACAGGCTTGAATAGCATTCAACTGGTAGCAAATGTCAAACAATAACCTTATCTGATAACTGCTTTCTCACTGTACGATTAAACCATATTCTTCACACAGACACTATTTCATTCCATCTGCAGCTTCTTTCTTCTCCCTCTCAGCATCTACACATTACAAGGAAGCCCCACACAAATGAAAGTTTCCTTTCAAAAGCTACTCATTTACAATCCCTCTCCTTTCACAGGACAAAATGATCCATAATGACAGAAAGGAAGAAAATCAGCAAGCATCCAGGCCTTCACATAGATAGAACAGGACGCTCTGGAGGCAGTTAAACCATCCAGAGCAAAAAGCACAAGCCTTTCAGTTTGTTCTTCTCAATAACTTGGAGTTTGTGGTAAAACATTTGGAGAATGTCAATATTCTAGAAGAAGTAACATCACATGCTTCCAAACATGACGATAGGGCTTTGGTCAAAGGACTGCCTGCCTAATAGATCTGCCAGTGTAAAAGATGGAACAGATCACTAAGTTGGATGATTTTAAAACAGAAAAGATGGAAAAAACAGCTAGTAGCATCTGATGATTTTGCATATATGATTGAAATTGTATTATATATTATATATATATGATTTTGATATAAATTTATTTACAGATAAAGTGCATAATAAATGTAAAAATATAGAGATTAAAATCAGTAATTCATATTATATACAATTGTGTTGACTGTTTGAAAAATGAATGTTATTTTCCTAGTTCTTTATAGAAACCTCTTAAAAAGGCACATTTGTTGGTGGCAATTGTAGTTGACCACAATCAACCAACCTTCCATAGTGAGAATAAATATGAGTTAATGAGCAATAGAAGACCTTTGGGCAATCACAATATTTCCCATTTTGAAGTTCAAGCAGTCAATTTGAGAATACTGCCCATCAATGTTTATTGCACTTTGCATCAAGGTAAAATGGAATCATGCATCTTTAAAATAATGACAATCGTAAACCATTATTTATAATGGTTTCATTTGCTGACTAAGTTTGTAAATAAATAGCCATATGCATCCAGCAGTAAATTCACAGATGCTGCAACATTATTGACATGCAACTCAAAATCACACAATTTGACAAAGAAAAATTACAAGCTCCCAATTATTTGTCATAATGACGCGACTATTTCAAAAATGTCCCACTACCACAGTAGAATTAATTTTTTAAAAAAGAAAAAGCACAAAATAGGTTTCTTGTGAACTATTTTCTTTCCAGCTTTCTTAACAGTTTTCTTAATTCCTCGCAAAGTGTAATATTTTTCTTGATTCACTCATTTAGGCTTTAACATAAACTAGAAAACACAGATGATAATTTGGCATATTTTCAGCTACATGAAGAATTACAACGTAAGGAATTACTGATGATAAATATTTGCAACTATTATGTGGAACACCACAGTGACGATAATAGATTTAGATAAGCTAAATAAAAGCAACAAAAATTAGGAAAAGCGGTAAAAGTTATGAATTGAGGAAAGCTGATTTCGTTGGTGTAAGGACAAATCTACCCCAGGTAGTATGGAATCAAAGAATGCTATGCAAATCTACAACAGAGTGATGGGTTCACTGTAATGAGGAGACTCGGGTACAGCTGAAGTACATTCTCAAGAGGCAAATACAGTGTAACCATAGCCTGGGCTCTCTAGATAATGGAAGAGAAAAGGAGTAAGGTGATAGAGGAATATAATGTGTATAGTTGTTGCCAGATTGATAATACAGGTGAGAATCAGACTGAAAATGGAAAATGCTTAATGGAAGTGAAAAAGGAGATAAAAGAATGAAAGAGAATGGGAAGAGGTTCAGAGGTACCATGAATCCAAAGATTTTCTACTGATACTGAACAGCAAAAGACATTAAAAGGAGAAGTGGGACTAATTAGGGAGAACCAAAAACAGAGTTGCTGGAAAAGCTGAGCAGGTCTGGCAGCATCTGTGAAGGAAAAAACAAGAGTTAACGTTTCGGGTCCGGTGACCCTTCCTCAGAACACTTTTCTGTTCCCCAGTTCTGAGGAAGGCTCACCAGACCCAAAACGTTAACTCTATTTTTTCCTTCACAGATGCTGCCAGACCTGCTGAGCTTTTCCAGCAACTTTGTTTTCGTTCCTGATTTACAGCATCCGCAGTTCTTTCGGTTTCTAATTAGGGAGGAAACTGGATCAACACATGGGGACAAAGGGAATGGTTGAGACATGAAATGAATACTTTATCTTTACTAAAGAAGAAGATGCTTCAAAGTCATGATGGAAGAGGGCATAGTTGAGACACAGTGTGGGCTAAATAAATAAAGGGAAGGAGTAGAAAGACTGGTTTTACTTGAAGTTGATAAGTCACAGCATCAGATGGGTTGCATCCAAGAAAACTAGAAGAAGTAAGGATGGAAATTGTAACAGTGTTAACCGTAATCTTCCAAGCATCCTTAGACAGAGGGTAGTACTGGGGGACTGCACTCAGCAACTACGGTCTAGTCAATTTAATCATGGCAGTGGAAAAGATTTTAGAGAAGTTAGTTGGGACAAAATAAACAGTCGCTTGGACAAATATGGATTCATTAAGGATTTGCACTAACTTATTAAAAGGAACACATCAAAGACAATCATGTTTAATTAAAATAAAAGCAACAGATGCAGCTCTGCCAGCATGTGTGAATCATTTCAAACCCCCACAGTACTGCCATACCCAGTCATGAATAGTCATGGACAATTAAACAACTAACTGGAGGAGGAGTCTCCACAAATATTCCCATCTCCAAAGATATGAAGTTACCGCCTTCAGTACAAGAGAAAAGGCTTTGCAATCATGTCAGCGAGAAGCAACAAAGATAATTTATTTCAACATTCTCCTGAGGTCTCCAGCCTCACAGAAATTGGGGTTCAGCAGGTTTAATTCACTCCACTAAATAAGAAAATACTGAAAGGCACTGAATATTACAAAGCCTATGGTCCCTGACAACATTCTGGCAGCAGTACTGAAGACTTGTGCTCCCTAACTAATTGCAGCTCTAGCCAAGTTGTTCTAGTACATCTACAACAGTGAAATATACCTAACAATGTGGGAAATTGCCAAGGAATATC